TGAACAGATTGGGTTTAAAGCGGGCTGTGCCACACTGGACCACTGCTTTGTCTTAGTGCACTTGGTCGATAAATATACTACCATACCAGGTGGCAAACTTTTTACTGCTTTTATTGACCTTTTATCGTCAGCGTTTGACTCAGTCCCTAGGGGACTGTTGTGGTCAAAACTGCTCAAAACTTCTATTGATAGACATCTTCTGTTCCTAATTAGATCCTTGTACAACCAGACCTCTAGTCAGGTCAGGTGTGGTCTGCAGGGAGAACTTTCAAATCCTATCCTGAGTAAGAACAGAGTAAGGCAGGGTTGTGTTCTGGCTTCTCTTTTGTTTAATTTATTCTTATCTGACTTGGCCTTTCACATTGGATGTATTGAGTCCCATGCCTCAAAGTTGTCAACTACGAAGATCCCACTTCTCCTTTATGCTGACGATGCGTCCCTCCTTTCATTGTCAAGGCCAGGTCTGAAAAGATTACTTTCTGCATTCAGGTCCTACTGTGCTGAGAACCACTTGTCTATTAATTATGACAAATCCAAAGTATTGGTGTTCTCTAGAGCCTGGAAATTGTATAACTAGGCTATCAATGCTAATGCTGTTAAGCAGGTTTTCCATTTTAAGTATTTAGGTATTCAATTTCAGAACACCGGTGCTTGGACTAGACACGAACCCAGGTGCTGAACTCGGCCTCCTGTAGTCATCAGCGGATTTTAAGATTTTTTTTATACTCAAGGAGACCAGTTTATTCCTTCTGCTCTGCGTATTTACAAAACCAAAACTTTGGCTCAAACTCTTTATGGAATTCCCATAAAGAGAGGGCTTCAAGGATTGTATTGAAAGAACCCAGGCTGTCTTGTTTTAGAAAACTTCTGGGTCTTCCTCCTTGTTTGGTTTTGCTCCGATGTACCTGGAACTGGGCACTCAATCAGTCGAATGTATGGCATGGATTAACACCTTTAAATGGTGGTTTTGGGTGATCTTTCTGGCAGTTCCTGGTAGCTACCTCTCCATGGCATTTGCTGACTCTCATATTTCTCGTTGGGAGATGGAGCTGATGAAGAAATTACACCTGCTAGGTTTTACCGGGAATGCCCTGGGAGATTATGGCCTTAAGGCTGCCCAATTTAGGGTAGTCCAACAGCTTGTGGACATTGACTTGCAATATCTATGAGCCAGAGCTAACAAAACTTGCTCCCCTCTGATCTTCAGCCAATTTAATAATTATGGACTGAGGATGGCTTCCTATTTTTACACTAACCTTTCCCAAGTATAGAAGAGCTTTCTCCCTAGCTCGCTTTAATGTTCTGCCCTCAGAACTACTGGATGGACAATTTAAGTGGCTCCCGATTAATGAGTGGCTATGCCCCTGTGACACAGCAGAGGTTGATACTGTGGAGCATGTCCTTTTATATTGCCCTATGTATAACACAAGGCAGATCTAAGTTGCTGTGTTTCCTTGAACCAGACCATTCTAGACCCAATGTTAATAATTTGTTCTTATATTGTCTAGGGGAGGGCTCCTCATATATCACTTCTTTGGCTTCCAATTTTTTTAAGAGCTGTAACCATCAGAGGAGAATGCTGTAATTCCCCTTTGTCAAGTTTTTGGTGATCAATTGTTCATGATTAATTTTCCCATGTTCTTCTTTTGTTGTACTTGTGTTTTGGTCTCCGACCATTAAAAAAGTATTATTATTAGTTGTTCTAGTCCCAGATTTGTTACTGCATTGTACAAGGTTGCATATGTGGGTTCAGTTGTACATTCGTTAAGAGTCCAGTTAATATGAGGTAGATTGAAGTCACCAAGAAAGATAAAAGCATGTGGGCAGGATGCTGCCCATGTTAGTAGCGTATTTAGCTTGTTTACATGTTCGATGTCATAATCAGGGGCTCTGTAACATAGTAAGAACCAAAATGTGATATTTAAGAACAGTTCACAGAGGATGGTCTCAGGAATAGCACGCTCCTGGGTAACTTGGATGTTTTTTAGATGTAGGGACTTTTTATAGAAGATAGCAACACCACCTCCTCTACAGATTTCACGATCTGATCGGTAAACATAATAGTCTCTTACTGTGGTAATGGAGTCAGGGAGAGATGCATTGAGCCATGTTTCACAGATAAATACAATGTCGAATTTAGCCGTATTTAGTAAGAGGAGAAATTCAGGTATTTTATTTAAAAGGCTTCTTGCATTGAGTAGCTTGCATTTAAGGCCAGTTGTGGTTAGAATAGAGGTAGTTAGGGGTGTGTGTGCCTAGTTTTGAGTGATGTTGGATTGGATGGGAGTGGGGTTGGATTCAGAGTTGTGGGTTGTGTGACTTTCTTTTGATGCAATCAGCTCTGTAGTCAATGTATAGGTCCTTTTTTCCATTGGCTAGACGGTTTTTGAGTTCTGCGTGGAGTTCACGGGAGCGGATTCTTTGCAGTATGGATAAGTCTGGTCTTGAGCAAAGCTTTTTGTTGTTGGGATTGGTTTTTGCAATAGCATTTATTGTATGAATGAATATGCATTTCCTGGACTCATTTTTGCATACAACTCTACAAAATCTTGAGGCCACAGAGCCATCATTGTATTTGCACCCAGGGCCATCTCTGGTTATTTCAATGATATCTTCAGGAGAGATGTTTGTTGTACTTGAGTTGCTTATGATATCATGAACTTTGGTGATGTAGTCTGATTCGTTGGTGTCTTCGAGACCAAATAAGATGGCATTTGGACGTTTCTGTTCATGTTCCATGGTGTCTCTGATAAGTAAGGAGATATTATTTGTGGAATTATTTGATTGGATAGTAATTGTTTGTGGCTGTGGTTTGGTGATTATTTTTGATTATAGTTGTGATTGTAGTTGAGGTAGTGGTTGTGGTTGTTGTGGGATTTGATTTTGAGCTGATAGGTACTCACTTATCTGTGCTGTATTTTTTTTTCAAGAGAGATTAGGCTTGCTTGTATAGTTGTTTCAAAACGTGTTGCTAAACATTCTTCTATTGAGTGAATGAGTGATTCTATGCTTTCAACTCTGTGAGGTAGGGTGCTCAGTTTGTTTAGCTTAGGAGAACATGATGGACACAGATAAAAGAATGTATCTGAATTTTTAACCATATCAGCTAGGCTTTTGTTTGCGTTTAAGCAGGCAGGATGGGCTAGATTATCACATGGGCAGCATTTGATGTAAATTTCACTTTCATAGATGGTTTCAAGACATCTGAAACATGTGCAGGAGTCTGGGAGGTCATTGGTAGAGATATTTTTCTTTTGTTTGGAGTTTTTGGTTGGCATGGTCAATGGCAATAGTACAGTAATCAATTACAATAGCTAGTTAATGTGATAGGTAGACAGTTATTAATGAATGTTGGTAAGTAATAAATGTTAATTGATATGTTAGAGAACAAATCAAAAGTAAGATTACTTATTACTAAAAATAAATCAATCAATCAATTGATTATTCAAATCACTCTAATCAAATAATTTTGCTAAGCAACAAACAGCCTAATTTATTACAGTAATTACTAAACACACTGGTCAATTAAATTCACTAAATCACTGATTTTACTAATCAGATATTCAGTAATTACACTATATGCACTAAATAATCATAATAATCAATAAAAACAATAAATCAATTAATCATTTGATAAAAATTAATTATTTTAAAGAAATCTATTTTTTGAGATAATGAAAGTAATGAAGTAGTATTGAGAGTTAGTAAGTAAGGGGTTATTGCTTTGCTTTGCTTAGCTGTTGCTGATATCAGAGAATAGGTTTATAACCCCTAATAAACTGGCAGGAGGTCTCTTTTCCTGAGATGTTTGAAAACAATCAGTGAGGAAGGTTTTACACTCTCTTTCTTATTTTGTAGATTGAGTTTTTGAAATAGTAAAGATGTAAAGATGCTGAAGGGGGGATCTCTGGCCCCTTCTTCAGCAGAGATAAACAGAACAATTCACTGGGAGGCAACAGGAAACTTTTTGTTTTGTTTTCCCTTGATGAATGGGATTTCTGGCTCCCTCCTAGTTAATTTAAATACACTTTCAAAGTTTGTTGCTTTTAAGAGAAAGAGGCACGTACATAGTCTTGCACTGGCAATTTGAACAGTTTATATTTTAACTATGTAGACTCAGATTTGTATTGAGCATTTGCTCCTGGCTTCAATATACTTCTATCACAGGAAATAAAATTGCTTCCAATTTTCACAGTTCAGTTATAACAATACTTTCCTACTTATTGAAAGTCCAAAGTTACTGTCCTTTTAAAGAGGGAGTCCAGATTAGCAATTTGGTGAAGAGGGAAAGAGGGGCAGCAGGGGGGAAGCAGTCTGCTTCACACCCTGGCTGCAAATGTCTGAAGACTGACTCACAGCTCCCGGTGCTCACCGCCCTGCAAGGATGGGATGAATCTCACCATCTCATCATCCTGCAAGGATGATCATAGAGCCCCCGGTACTGAAGAGCCCCACCGCCTTACCTTCTAGTAAGGATGAGTCGAATCACAGATCATTGAGCGCTTTTGAATTTAGCACTTATCGAGGAATGAGCTCTTTTCTGGCATGCTGGTCAAGGATGGGAGGAATCTGAGATCTCCGAGTACTTTTGAATTGAGCGTTTGCTGAGAAATGGAGTTCTTTTCTAGCTCACTGGCAAGTCTCGGGCATTAGGCTTTCCACCTCGCTGGCTGGACCCGTAGGGATTAGAGGGCTTGTCGCCTGGCGCTGCCTGTGCCCACCGGAGCTTCTCATGCTGCCACTACTGCTATCACCATCTTGCCATCTTTCTTTCATTCATTCTTTCTTTCATTCATTCTTGCTTTGTGGTCAGCCAAGGGGTCCTCAAAACATCACCAAATGGCCATCATGAAGCAATCAAAGCTTCTCAGCTCCAGTGCATTTGCATTGAAGAGTATCACCATCCAGCAGGCTGTGGCCTCTTCTAGTGCCAGGTAATCCCTCCATAGGAATCTCCAGCCCATATTCTTGTATGTACATCAGAAAAGGGCCAGGAAAAGCGCATTGGAACTTACCTGATACGCCCATTCTCTGTGAGCTGTGAAGAGCATCCAGAAGTGGGAGGTGCTTCAGTCTCTTCTGGAAAGACTGGGCTTAAAACTCCGGGACGCTCCTCCTCCTCCACGGGACACCTCCTCAGCATCCCCCAGTTTTGCAAAGACTGAGTGCCAAAGTCCAGAACTCATCACCTAATCTAGATCCCTGACTGGAACAGAACCCCACCAGATGGAAAGAAATGAGTGCGGCTGGATGCTCTTCACAGCTCACAGAGAACGGGCATATCAAGTAAGTACCAACGCCCTTTCTTCCATGAGCTGTTCAGAGCATCCAGAAGTGGGACATACCAAAGCTTGGCCTGTCCTTAGGGAGGGACTCCGTCTGGATTGAAATCCACTCCTAAATTCTATGGACCCTCTGCAGGACTCTTCTGCCAAATGAAGTGTCCGCTGAGGCGTAGACATCAATTTTATAATTTCTGACAAAGTGCGATGGTGAAGCCCAAGTCGCCGCTCTGCAGATTTCCTCTGTGGAAGCCCGAGTGGCCCATGCTGCTGATGTTGCTGCACTCCTTGTCGAGTGGGCTGTAATGCCCTTAGGAACTGAGATGGACTGGCATTCGTAACTTTTAGCTATCGTGGCTCTCAACCATCTACCAATGGTCGTCGATGACACCTTGTGTCCTAAAGTGGATGGGTTGAAGGATAGGAATAGAGCCTCAGATTTTCAAAATGCCGCCGTGCGGTCTATATAGATGCTTAATGCCCTTCGAACGTCAAGTTGATGCCATTGATGCTCCGGTCTATGAGATGGTTTTGGACAAAAATTTGGAAGCACCAACTCCTGCGCTCTGTGGAAGGCTGAATTTACCTTAGGGATGAACGATGGATCCAATCTGAGAACCACTCTGTCCGCATGAAACACACACAGGTCCTTTCTCATCGACAATGCTGCCAACTTGGAAATCCTCCTTGCTGATGTGATCGCAATTAAGAAGACCACCTTATATGTCAGGAATTTGAGACTAGAGGTTCTTAAAGGCTCGAACGGACCAGTTGTAAGTGCAGTTAACACCTTGTTGAGCTCCCAAGTGGGATAGCAGTGAATTACAAGAGGTCGTAAGTTTGCAGCACCCTTAAGAAAGCTGTGGACATGTGGATGGTGTGCTATGAAATGAAGGTCACCCCAGGATATCACCGAGACCCCAGGATATCACCGTAAAGTATTTGGAGATAGGCCCTTGGTCAACCACTCCTGTAAAAAGTCCAATAATTGTCCTATTGATGGGGCAGTTGGGTCGATCTTAGGCCCCTGGCACCAGTGACAGAAAGTGGACCACGTGGCCTCATATATATAATTTGTAGAGGACTGTCTGGATGCTTGTATGGTGGCAATGGCATCTTCTGAAATCTGCTGGGTCCTTAAATGGTTCCACTCAACCTCCATACAGCTAGGCTGAGCCATTGTGGCTCCGGGTGAAGTACCAGCCCTTGAGAGAGGAAAACCCTCAATGGTGGAATTTTCCAAGGTTATTCTCTCGAGAGGTCCTGTAAGTCCACAAACCACTTTCGCCTGGGCCAGTAAGGGGCAACCAATATCAGTTCCGCTCATTCCTCCAATATCTTCTGGATCAACATGGGTATTACAGGGAATGGAAGAAATGCATATAGAAGTCTGGGAGGCCACTGACATCGCAGAGCATTGACGGCCTCCACCCCCTGAGTCAGGTACCTTGAAATATACCGGGGCAATTGGGCATTGAGGGGAGAGGCAAATAGATCGATCACCAGTTGCCCAAACCTCTGCACTGCTTCCTGGGAGAGAGACAGATGTAGGAGCCACTCTGCCTGATCTATCGAGGCCCTGCTGAGCCAGTCCGCTTGTGTGTTTAAGGCCCCTGCTATGTGCGCTGCCTTGAGTGACAACAGATTGGCCTCGGCCCATTTGAACAACCTGGCCGTCTCCAGCATCAGAAGTTTGGAGTAGGTACCCCCCTGTCTGTTTACGTGGGCCTTGGTTGTGATATTGTCTGTCAAGATCAGAATGTGGCATGATTGGAAAAGGGGTAGAAAACTGCATAACACCAGATGAATGCTCGCAGCTCTAACAGGTTGATACTTTGTGATTGTTCGGAAATAGTCCAACTTCCCTATGCAGTGTGGGATTGGAAGTGAGCTCCCCATCCTACCAGGCTGGCATTGGTTGTGATAGTTGCCCTGCAAAGTTCCTTGAAAGGACATCCCTTATTTATCGTGTTTTCTGACCACCAGCGGAACGATCGGAGAACATTGTGCGGTACCTTTATCCAGACGTTGGAAGTGGCTCTTCTGGATCACTGGAAAGGTAGCAGGAACCATTGCAGATCTCTAGAATGGAATCGAGCCCAAGGCACAATGGAAATACAAGAAATCAGTTTCCCTAACTGTTGAGACAGAACTGCCAAGGAAACCCTCCTTAAGACTCTGACCTCTCTGGCCAAAGACTGGATACTATTCAACCTGTCCTGAGAGAGAAAAACCTTGCCCTCCATGGTATCTATCACTGCCCCTAAATGAACTAACCTAGTTGAAGGGATCAAATGGCTTTTATCCCAATTTATGGAAAAGCTGTGACCTTGAAGGGTCTCCAGAGTAATCTTGGTACCCAAATTTGCTTGATGTCTGGAAGATGACAAAATTAAAATATCATCCAGATAACTTTGTAAATGAATAGATTTGATCCTGAGGGAGGCAGCCAAAGCCTCTAGGACCTTGGTAAAAGTCCTAGGGGTCGAAGCCAGACTGAATGGTAGGGCGATATATTTGTAGTGGCGATCACAATAGCAAAATCTAAGGTATTTGTAGTGAGCAGGTCTAATTGGTATATGTAGATAAGCCCCTGTCAGATCTGTAGAGGTCAGGACATCATTCTCTCTGATGCTGAGCAGAATGGACAGGAGAGTAGTCATTTTGAATTTTCGATAAATCAATGATCTGTTCAGATGTTTGAGGTCCAGAATTGCCCTCCAGCCCCCCGAACTCTTTGGGGGCACAAACAATAGAGAGTAACAGTCTTGACTCCGTTGTTCAGATGGGACATCTCTAATGGCCTGAATATGCAGAAGATGATTGATAGCCTCCTGCATCAATGCTCTCTTAATGGGGTCTGTGGACCTAGGGCTCCTAATGAAAAAGTTTGGAGGGGAGGATTGAAACTCTAGCGCCAAACCAAACCTTACAGAGTCCCTGAGCCATGCATCAGAGGTGGAGCTGTCCCATTGATCAGCAAACAATTTTAGCTGCCCTCCAATGGGAGCTGCTGTCAAGGACTCACTTGGGGCGACGAAAAAATCGGCCTCCAGTACCTCTGGGGTTTCTTCTGTTTTGGCCTCCCTGTTGACCTCTGTCAGAAGATTCCGACCTATCCTGTCTAAAACTGGGTCTGTAGCCTGGTGTTCTTTGCGATCTGGGAATGTACGGGCCTTGATAGTAGGGCCGAAAGGAACCCCTTTGAAACGACTGGGGCATTCTGTTTTCAGATCTCCAAAAAAGAGGGGGAAGCACTTTTTTCTTGTTTCTATTCTCAATAAGCAGGCACTCCAAGACACTGTCAAATAATTTATCCCCCAATATTGGGGCTGATGCCAACTTGCATTTATGCTTGGTATCCACCTGCCAGTGTCTGAGCCATAGCAGTCTCCGTGCTGATACGTGAGATGCTATGGCTCTAGACAAGAATTTGACTGCATTAAATGTGGCATCGGCAGAAAATTCTGCCGCTGCAATAATCTTAGCAATGTCCTGGTGGGCTCCGACATTTGACGCCGGCAATATATCCCTCAAGTGGAAGAGCCATCGTAGAGAGGATCGTGAAAGAAAGGACACAGCTGTAGCTGCCCTAATGGCCCAGGCATCAGAAACATGCACCCTACGGAGTCCTAACTCTGCTCTCTTTTCCTCCAGTCTCAGGGCTTCCTCGGCCTCATTGGGAAAGGTTGAAGAAGAGGCCAGTGCCACAATAGGCTCATCCACCTCCGGCATTTTGAGAAAATTTGAAAACTCTGGTGCCAAATTATAATATCGTTTATCGTACCCTGTTGGGGCTGGGTAGGATGCTGCTGGTGCCCATTGATTTTGTACTAATTCAGCAAACATACGAGGGACAGGAATAGTTTCTGCCTCATTAGCCAGTTGTGAGAATATTAGATCCTTGGATTCGTCCTGTTGACAATGGATGAGAGTTTCACGTGCCTAGTTTAGTGGTGTTCTTTGCTTTGAACAGTAAAGATTTAAAGAGGTGCGGACAAAAAAGGCCAGAAAAGGTAGGTTGGTCCGGAATGAGGCTTTCGTCATCTGACATTCCCTGTTCTAGTGGGTCAGCCTCTGACAACCCCAAGTCCATCTGATGGATTGACCCCACCTCCATGGGAACATCCTGGTCATCTAATTCCACCTCCTCCTGAAGACCCTGGACTGGTATGTCAGGGATATTGGGGAATACCTGAGTTTGATGATGTCCCATATGTGCAAAGAATTGAGCAGACAGGGATCCTGCTTCTGAAGTAGGCAAAAAGTGCCTGGTCCAGATGGATTGCTGAACTCCAGCCTCAATGCCCCTTTGTATGGCCATCTCCATCCAATGCCTCATTTCGATGGGAATAGTCTCAGGTAATCCCTCCTCCTGTCTTAAACCAGTGGCCGTGGGGTGAAGGTTGCCTCTGGGATTTGTCGGGCAGTGCTCATTGGAGGAGATGTGCCTATGGGAGGCTGTCCAGAAATAGCCTGTCTGGGCTGGGTGGATAATTCCAAGGGCCCCACAATGTACTTGGGCCCTGATCTGATTGTTGTGTCATAGACATCTTGTCCGCCTCCCTGGCCTGTTTCTGCAACTGCCTTTCCAAGGCTTGGTGCCATCTATGGGCATCCTTATGCACCGCCTTAGAGGCCTTTTTGGGGCCCACTGATTTATCTCAGGACTTATTTGGCTTGGAGCAGAAGATGTTGTCACCTTCCATTGTGGAGGACTGAATCTCATGTCTCTAACTTTAATTTTAAT